TGTTGCAAAAAATTCTCTAAGTTTGGGGGATAAGTAGCTAATTGAATAGAAGAGATGGCTGGATGGAAGAAAGCAGAGAGTTGTTTTAAATGGAGTTCACTGAAACTGGATTAATGTCACAAGTAGGGTACCTCAGGGTTCAGTTTAGGACCTTTACTTTTTGATCTACATAAATGACATGGATGAAGGAATAGTCGATAAATTACTTAAATTTGCTGATGATATTAAGGTCTTGGGTGTTGCTAGCTGTGAAAAGGATGCTGCTGATTTACAAAAGGATTTAGTGAGTTGGACAAATAAATGGCAAATGGGTTTTAATATAATAAATAGAAGATAATACATCTGGGTTATCATAATTTGAATTATAAGTATAATTTGGATGGGAATAACCCCCCTTTTTCATAACACTGTTAATCTTGGTGTAATAGTTGATCAGTCTCTAAAGCAGTACTCTGTTGTTAGTGGTAGGGCAAATAGGATTTTAGGTAGTATCTACAGGAATATTGAATACAAGTCTAAAGAGGTTATAATTTCATTGTACAGGTCACTGGTTAACCACATTTGGAATATTGTGTTCAATCTTGGGCTCCTTACCTTAGGAAGGACATTGAATTGTTGGAAAGGGTTACTAGAATGGTGCCTAGCATGGAGAGGTTGTCATATGACGGGAGGTTGTATCACAAATTGTTTTCTCTTGAACAGTGAGAATAGTAGGACTAGGGGACACAAATATAAATTTTGGCAAGGTAGGAGTCATCTTCAGCTAAGAGTTTTATTTTACTAACAGAGTTGCTGGCCTTTGGAATGGGTTGCCTTCAGATGTTTTGGAGGCAGTAAATTTTTAAGAGAAAGCTTGAAAGTATATGAATAATACGGGCTGGCTTTAAACATTTTTATATTTATTTATTTGATCATTTTAGTTTAGAGGATAAGACAGCCAAGATGGACCAATAGGTCCCTTGTTGTCCTAAAATGTTATGTTAAGATTATCCATGGGGCTGATAAGACAGACGGCTCTAATTGCTTTGTGCAACATTCTAAAGATAATAGAACAAGAGAACCCAAGTTTAAGATAGTTTTATTTCTGTAACAGAGTGAATTACTTCAGGAATGAGTTGCCAATGTAAAGGAAGTATGAATGATTTGAAAAATAAAGTGTTTGTTTCACATAATACCTTTTTTTGAGGGTAGGTGTGCAAAGACCAAATGATACCTTGCTATCCATAAGTTGTTATATTGCAGTTGAATTATAGTATTACTGAGTCTATGGAATATCAAAACCAACTGATTGGTGATGATACTACTCGTATACATCAGTCTATCTGAATGTTTTTTCTACTCGGTTTTAAGTGGAAAAAAAAATTCAATAAGTAATATTAAGTAAAGAAGATTAAAATGTAGTCTCTTATTTCTTAATACAAAATTGGCAAATAGTGATTTATAAGCATAATTATTTATTTTGGGGGGTACATACTAAGTGTATTGAAACGTAGTATGTTTCCCCCCAAAATAAATCATTTCATTATGCTTATAAATCATTGTTTGTCAATTTATTATTACATTAACAGAATGTACTTCCTTACTCAAATACTTGTTTCTTATCAACGATGTTTCACTTAACATTTAAGGGGCAGTAGGAGCATCTTGATCTGTCTCATCCACATAGAAATAAAACAATCTAGACCATTTAAATATTTCTCAGATCTTACCATCAACTTATTTCTTCCACCACATTTCAAAGGCCAACCATGTATTAGAAAAGTAAAACTCTCTTAGTTGTCAAATATTATATTCCCTCTCCATACCATTATCAACATTAAAACTAAATATGAAAAAAAAATATATATATTATTGTTTTATAACAATGCCACAACAGGCTATTTGCTGTGTTCATCAAACCCCAGATTTTAGCACCGTAAGTCCACAGACATACCAAAAAAAGACAATTCATCAATACTATCAATTCCTTTAAAAATCTTAAACTCCTCAATCACGTCCACTCTAACTATTTTTTTCAAGATAAACCAACTTCAGAGGTCTTAACCTGTACTCGTATGATAACCTTTCCATCCAATGTATTATCCTAGTAGTCCTCCTTCAAACTTTTAAATATCCTTCTCACGTATTATCCTAGTAGTCCTCCTTTAAAGTTTTCAATATCCTTCTCACGTATTATCCTAGTAGTCCTGCTTTAAAGTTTTCAATATCCTTCTCACGTATTATCCTAGTAGTCCTTCTTTAAAGTTTTCAATATCCTTCTCATGTATTATCCTAGTAGTTCTCCTTTAGTTTTCAATATCCTTCTCACGTATTATCCTGGTAGTCCTGCTTTAAAGTTTTCAATATCCTTCTCACGTATTATCCTAGTAGTCCTGCTTTAAAGTTTTCAATATCCTTCTCACGTATTATCCTAGTAGTTCTCCTTTAAAGTTTTCAATATCCTTCTCACGTATTATCCTAGTAGTCCTCCTTCATACTTTTCAATATCCTTCTTAAGTTAAGAAGAACAAACCTAAACTCAATACTCTGAATTAGGCCTAACATGTTCGGTAACCAGAGTCTCCTGTTGTCTGATCTGTAAAAGGTTTCATTCTTCATTACCGTTACAATAAAAATAAAATTTACAATGCTTCACACATTTTCACTATCGTGAGTGTGATCTTTAAAGAACAGTGTACTTGGCATTAAACTCTCTCTTAGTAGTATAAGCTGTTTGAAGAATCTAAACTCAATACTCTGAATTAGGCCTAACATGTTTGGTAACCAGAGTCTCCTGTTGTCTAATCTGTAAAAGGTTTCATTCTTCATTACCGTTACAATACAAATAAAATTTACAATGCTTCACACATTTTCACTATCGTGAGTGTGATCTTTAAAGAGTAATGTACTTAGCATCAAACCCTCTCTTGGTAGTATAAGCTGTTTGAAGAATCGGAAATTATATTCTGTTCAAAAGGAGTAGACAATATAACATCTATATTATACTTCTGGTGAGAAATTAATATATTTTATAATTATTTTAGTACTGCTTGTTAGAAATGTTTAGTTTCATACCAGACTACAAACAAATGAAAGTAGGCCTATAAGGGTAGTAGTATCAGCCAAATGGTGGCATTAACTGGTTCTATTTATGTTAAACTACCTATATTATTCACACCAAAATTATACTTATAATTTATATTATGACAACACAAGTCTTTATAGTTAATTTTTAAATCTTCAGCCAAATATTTTTCATATTAATTTCTTATTTGCTTAATGTTGCATTTGACCAACTCTCTCTTACTTGCCTAATGTCCAGTTTGACCAACTCTCTTGATCTTCTACAATCCTCCAAATCTCCCATGATAGTAGTCAATTTAAATAAGGTTTGTAATACTTTTCTTTAATTTTATCTTTTTACTTGCAGCTACCCTTTTTTCCTTTATAAGGAATTTATTTAAGTTTAATATTTAAAAATATAGAAAATCTGATCATTATCTCCAATATATTATTCACAGAACACAATTCTTTGTATATCCCTTCAAAATTTGCTTTCTAGAAATTTGTAAACAAAATCTTGATGTTCCCTATCTCCATATGCAGAAAAACATAAAACCTAACTGATCAATTATCGCTTGCACCCAGGTGTTCTCCAGTATCCACCCTCTTAATCATTTCCATATTAGAATTTAACAATAAATCTAAAGAACTTAGGTTTGTTGACCTAAAACCATCTTGAACAGTTTCTAAACAATTATAGTATTTTGGCACTTGTGTATAAAGTTAAAATCATAAATAATATTCAACGTTAAACTGGTACACAATTAACGTCAAACATGTAGAGTCGTCAAATTTTGAAGGCCATAATAGGCCTAAATTGTGTACCAGTTTGACGTTGAATATTATTTATGATTTTCAGTTTCTAAGCACTCGTCATGCTCAGTTTGACTCTTAAAATCTCCCAATCTATGTGTCTGAAATTAAAATTTCCTATAATTATAACCTCACTAAAAGCTGTAAACTTAACATAACAATCAAGTTTCTCATTAATTTCATCAGTCTCACCTGGTAGTCTACAAAGAAGTCCAACAAAAAGCTTTCTACACAACATTCACCAACAGCAACTTATTGAACATCATAGCTCTACCCTACATTCACCAACAGCTTGTAACTCACTCGTCAGATTCAACATTTTAGCTCTACTCAACTTCAACAGCTTGTAATTCACTCTTCAGATTCAACATCCTAGCTCTACTCAACTCCAACAGCTTGTAATTCACTCTTCAGATTCAACATCCTAGCTCTACTCAACTCCAACAGCTTGTAATTCACTCTTCAGATTTAACATTTTAGCTCTACTCAACTTCAACAGCTTGTAATTCACTCTTCAGATTCAACATTTTAGCTCTACTCAACTTCAACAGCTTGTAACTCACTCTTTACATATTGAACAACCTATAATCCTGTATTTCAAAAACATTTCTGGCATCAAAATTGTCACCATTTAACCAAATTACAATTATTCCCACATTACTGAAATTCACTGTTCCAACAAGTGCTTTATCTAGTTTAAGGTTATTTTATTTCTAATATTTCTAGCATTACAATGGTAACAATTTAACCTACCCTTAAAAAGGATTGATATATTTTTGATAAAAGTCAGAGTTCTGAATTAGGGTTACATTTGTTGCAAAAAGTCCAAGTCCAATTTTTCTGTTAGACCTAGGACAGTGGGAGTAACTTTTGTACTAAGGTTATTACTAATAAATCATTTGTTTTGTTTAGATACTAAAATATTATTAACACAAAATTAATTCAAAAATACAATAACATCAACTTTTAAATTAGGCATGTTCTGATTTTAATAATGACATCTTTTGAGTCATCATCATACAAGAGTTACATTCAAAAACCAAAGTTACATTTTAGAATATAACTGTATAAGTTATAACTCTTCCCTGATGCTGACTCGATACTATTAGTATTACTATTACTGTGGGTCGAAACGTTGTAATTATTAAAATCAGAACCTCAGTTAAGAAGGTTCTTCAATAGACAAAATTAATTATCAAAACTATAAGCTATACATACATGTTATTTTTTTTGTTTGTTTTATAATTACAGGTTATAAATAAAATCAATCTTCAGGTTTCTCGGGTGGTGGACCACATGGCTGAAGCGTTTTTTCCATAAGGTTAAATCTCACGCGAGCCTTGGCCTCATTTTCAGCGATAGAGAAGAAATTTAACATATCAAAATGTCCCATGTAAGAGGCACAACTATCTCGGTGTTGATTAACCATCCATTCATATCTAGCTGAATCGGCATGACCCGTTCCGATATACTTCGACTGCAAGTGTTCTAGTTGACTGTGAATATTATATCGGTCTCCCATATTAGTTTTACAAAATACAAAAATTACAGCTAATACTAGATCAGCAAGCGAAACGTTACGCCTAATATTACTTACAAATCTTCTGGAAGGCCCACCAGAGGGCCATAGTTTATCTACATGTTGAAATATGCCTTGTAAATTAATGGATTTCTTTATAATTTAAATCATTAAGTACTGCAGTACTTAATAGTATTGAGAATGATCATGATGAAACAAAATGGCGGCCATTAAAATCACCCGTTTAATACCACCTTTAAAATTCCTGAATATTAAGAATGACTATTTCACAGTATTGTGTGAGCAGAACTAAAGCTTATTAAACTGAAAAAGCCGCCTAAATCGCTGTATAAGTGTTTATGGAGTGAGTCAAAATTTCACTATTTTTATGAATTTTCATCTAAGTAAGCAAGTGACTTTTCTAGACAAAGGTACAGAACAAATGACGAACCTTATTATACTAATTCTCTCACAGAACTCTTCTATTTGAGATCCGAATGATTCGTTTCTTGTGCCGAAAAGGATACTAGTATATATCTTACTATAAGTACGTATTGTGTAAGTCAATATCTGTGTGTAACCAAAACTCATACACCATCTATTTAATGGCACCATAAACAAAAAAATTCACTTTGAATATTAAAGATTCAGCTAGTTAGAAAAATAACTGTGATATGTGCAACAACCATTACTTTATAATTGAATACGATTTTAAATAAAAGTACTCTCCTCACAACAAGAACACGACTTTCACTAAAATTGTACGTGAAGGTTGGATTATATTGTTGCGTCAGCGAGGTCACGTGATTAGTATCACGCCACGTCCTTCTCGAACCTTCGTGGATTGTCGGGAGATTACTAGATATAGTGTAGTCTTGTATATATAAGACCAGCCACGAAGCGACGCGGAAGTAATGAGTAACTGAATGTATGCGGACAAAATGTTGTTGGCCACGTGAGACGTGAGTTATAGCGTTTGTTATAGAGCGACTGTTGAAATTAAGTGTATCGTAAAAGTTGTATTCGGAAAGAATAAACCAGTTTTATTTAAGAAAGGACTTGTGTCGCTAAAGTTTCGTCGGAACGAATTTACGGAAAATTAATTAACAAACGGAGACGTAACAAATTGGTGTCAGAGAGTGGGACGGAAAATAAAAAAAAAGAAGAAGAAGATGGAAACGAGAGGCGGAAAATCAAACTACAGCTTAACAGATTTGATGGCAGCAATACAACAACAGCAAAAGAAACAAGAAGAACGAGAAGAGAAATTACATTAGTTGTTGGAGGAAAAAGAAAAGAAACAAGAAGAGAGACAACAGCAGTTGCAAGCAAACCTGCAACAGTGGCAGCTCGAACAGCAAAATAAACAAGAAGAGAAATTACAGCAGTTAATGTAGGAAAAAGAAAAGAAACAAGGATAACGAGAAAACAAGCAAGAAGAGAGACAACAGCAGTTGCAAGAAAACCTGCAACAGTGGCACCTGGAAGAGCAAAATAAACAAGAGAGATTACAGCAGTTGTTAGAGGAAAAAGAAAAGAAACAAGAAGAACGAGAAAATAAACAAGAAGAGAGATT